TAACCATGCATTTTGTCTTTTTTGGGGGAATTATAATGTTAAATTTTGTGGTGGATATGTTAAATTGGTGCAGCATACGTTGTAAATCATCTTTACTTTTAGAGTACTTTTGCGTCGTCTGCATAGCAGATTATTTTATGTTGATTTTTTTTCTATTTGTATTCTTTTTTGTTCTTATTTTACTGAATATAATACTGAAATTTGGAGGAAAGAAATAAACGGATATTGGCTTTTCAATTTGTTATAACAGGTGGCGTAATAGTGATATATGACGTTACAGGTCCACTATGACCGATAATTTTAAAAGGAACTTTATATCAAGTGATATCTCGTTTAAAAATACCTATTTAGTGCTACTAATTGTATTTGGGTTTAAGTTGATTTTAATATTGAATAAATTAATAAATACTACAGTTATAGGTTTGCATTTAACTAATTTTCTATGATCCGCCTATGGTTATTTTTAATAAAAATGTTGGAGTTTTTCATTTCTCTAGTTGCTTTTACTTTGTTAAGTGTTTGTAAAAGTGTAAGTACCCTGAATACTTGATTTAATTATTGTTTAACGAGATGTTTAGACATTCCTATCCTAGGTATCTGCGAGACGAAATGGCTAGGGTCAAACATATTCCAGAGCAATGGAAACATTGTCTACCACTCGGGAAAGGCAGAAGGACCCAGACGTAATGGAGTCGCAATGATTGTCAAAGAGGAAATTCGAAACTGTATGAGAAATTTCGTTCCTTACAATGATCGCATCATCATGATACAGCTGCAAAATAAATTAATAAATATTAATATAATACAAGTTTATCTACTAACAGCTGACAAACCAGATAAAGAAATTGAGCTATTCTACAACAAAATTAAACAATTTTCTGGAGCACAAAAAACATGAAGCTACGATTATTATGGGAGACTTCAACGCAAAAGTTGGTGTCGAAATAACACAAGATATAACCGGAACGTATGGACTTGGAGAAAGAAACGAAAGAGGGCACAAACTAATACAGTTCTGCTAAAAAGAGAATTGCATTATAACAAATACTATGTTTTAACAACCCAAAAGACGACTATATACCAGGAAATCTCTAGCTGATCAAGAAGGAAAGGTAGTCAGAAATTAAATTGACTACATTATCATTAACAGAAGGTTTAGAAGCAGTGTTACATTTGAAAAAACATTTCCAAATGCAGACGCAGCAACTAATAATAATCTGCTATGAGCTGCATTCAAACTAAAATTAAAAATAATAACAACCCCGACAGCTCAGAAAAAATCTAAATAATCGACTCCTAAGACATGCAGTAATAGCAGATGAGTTCGGTATATATAACAAGCGAGTCTTCTACACCTGGCGCCGCTTCTCACATCCTAATTTTCACCGTTTTCTGTCGAAGCAATCTTCAGTTGTTAGATCTCTGGCGGTCATTGCATCGTCGACATCGTCTCTCCAGGATCGTTTTGGTCGACCTCGTTTTCTTCTAGTTCGCGGAGTCCATTCTTCTATTTTTTTTGGCCATCTGTTTTCTGGAATTCTCTGAAGGTGTCCATACCAGTTAAGTCTTTTTACTTCGATTGTGTCTATTATGTCTAGATCGATTTCCATTTCTCTCCGAATATCTTCGTTTCTCACCCTATCAAGTCTAGTGAGCTGGCAACATCGTCTCCAGTAGTTCATTTCCATGGCCTTAATTTTTGATTTGTTTCTTTGGTTTATTTCCCAGAGTTCGGCGCCGTACAGTCCAATACTTTCTATTATTGGTTTATAAATTCTTCTTTTATTTTCTTTTGTTATTTTTTTATTCCATAATAGTCCGTGTAGCTGTCTGGTGGCTGATCTTGCTTGGCCAATCCTGGAATGTATTTCTTCGCTACTTCCTGCTTTTGATGATATTTGGACTTTCAAGTACTTAAAATTGTCTGTTGGTTTTATAGTTCCCATTTCGATTTGTAGGGTTTCTGGTTTTTCTCCTACAACCAAGTACTTGGTTTTTTGTATATTAATTGTGAGGCCCCATTTGGTGTACTCATCTTTCAGTTTTCTAAGCATGTAGCTTATATCATTCTCGTCTTTAGCTAGAATGGCTTGGTCGTCAGCGAAGTGTATTGTGAACAATCTATCATCTCCGATTGGGATGCCCATATTGCAGCACTTTCTTCTCCACAGTGAGAGTGCCTCATTTAGATATATTTTGAAGAGAGCGGGTGCTATGCAGCAGCCTTGCTTTAGGCCCTTACTAATAGGAATTTCTCTAGTTAATCTATTTCCAGTTTTAATGTTTGTCGTCATACTTTTGTAGAGCTGTTGTACTGCTTGTATATTTTTTTTGCTTATTCCTTGTTTTTCCATTGCTACCCAAAGTACACTATCGTATGCCTTTGTCAGGTCTATAAAGACTATATGAGTTGAAAGGTTGTGGGCTAATATTTTCTCGATAACTTGCTTTAGAGAGAATATACTGTCCATGCAGGATCTGCCTGCACGAAAGCCATTCTGTTCTTCTACATGTCATCTCGTTTTTAATTTTATTTTTTATTATTTTTCCATACAGTCTTCTGTCCATACAGTCTACTCAAGAGTGAATTTATGACACTTAGATGATTTCGGAAATAAGATAAATCATGAAATTAAAAAACAGCAAGAAAGATCTGAACAAGAAAGTATTGAGCAAAATATAGATATAATGAATTCCGCAATGATTAAAATAGCAAACGAAGTTTTCAAATCAGAAAAAGAGTAAAATAAAGAAAAAATAATTGGATGACCGATAACATACTAGACCTTACTCAGAAAAGAAGAAATTATAAAAATAAAGATGAGACTCGAAATAGAGAAATATATCGACAAATAAGATATGAGGATAAGCGAGCACAAGAGGCCTGGATGGAACAGAGATATCGTGAGATGAAAGAACTACAAAGAAAATATGACGAGTTTGAATTTTTTGAAAATCTGTAGACCTGACCAAATCTTCTACCAAAAATAACCAAAATTTCTAGACGACGACAATATCTCAGAAATAATAAACAATTATAACCACATATACGAAACTGGAACACTGCCACTAATATGGTTGGAGTCTACATTTATCCCACTTCCAAAAAAACCTAATACATCATCATGTAAAAACTTTAGACTAATTAGTCTCATAAGTCACTCTCTCAAGCTACTTCTTAAGATAATTTCTAATAGAATAAAGCAGAAATGTAAAGATACAATGGGAAATAAACAATTCGGTTTCAGAGAAGGATTGGGAGCAAAGGAAGTTTTGTTCTCAATGCTAACACTACTTTAACAATGATGGGAAGTACAGCAACCAATTTACGTCTGTTTTATAGATTTGTACAATGCGTTTGATATGGTTACACATGGTAAGCTGTTTGAATATCTAGAAATGATTGGAATTGATGATAAAGATATGAGACTTTTACAACATCTATATTGGAATCAAGAAGCTTTTATTTTGGTAGACGGCAAACAAACAGATAAAATTTGTATTCAAAGAGGTGTTAGACAGGGTTGTGTGTTGTCCCCAACTTTGTTTAACGTTTACTTAGAAATAATTTTTAACGAAGCCCTCGGTCAAAATTAAAAAAATCACCAACAAATAAAATAAATAAATAATAGTGCTCTTTTACAGTTTTTCTTGTGTCTTTTGATTTTTCTCGTTTATTTGGTTAAGTTTTATTGTCAAGTTATCGTCGAGTTTTTATAATATCTAAAAAAACCTACAAATTGGTTTTGTAAGTATAAACCATGTTCTCTTCTTTTTTCCACCTCTCTCCACCTCTGACCATCTCATTTATGGCCTTCCTCTTTTTCGTTTGTAACGATATGGTCTTCAGTGTATAATCATCTTATTCCATCTGTGGTATTTCTGTTTTATGGTATATCCAGCAATCTTCTTCAGCGAACGAACAAGTATTTCTTTTCTTGTCTGATAGCCTGATGCTCAGCATTTGCCTTTCCATGGCTCTTTGAGTCGTTGCTATTTTTTCCATTTTTTCCTTTGTAAACGTCAAAGTTTGAGAACCGTAGGTGAAAACAGGAAGTATACATTGGTTAAAGAATCTTGTTTTTAAATATTGGGGGTATTTTCTATTTTTTAGTATACAGCAAAGTTTTCCGAAGGATACCCAAGCCAACCGTATTCTTCTCTTTATTTCTCCGGTTTGATTTTTTTTATTTAATTTGTCCCAGTACTAGTTGTCCCAATACATATTCTTTTTCTTGTTCTATAGTTGTTTGTGCAATTGCAATTATTAATTCTTCTGGTTGGTTGGTCATAATTTCCGTTTTATTATAACTCATTTGTAGACCTATTTTTGTTGATTCTCCAAACGCAAAAACTGTTACAAAATTCCTTGATGACAACCAGACAACTGCCCTTGCAACTCGCCAGATCTGAATGCAATAGAAAATTTCTGAAAACTCATGAATAAGAAATTTATAATACAATTATAACTACAAAGCGTCAATTGATCGAGCGATTAATAGCAGAATGGCACAGAAGTGGAACAATTCTACAAAATTGCCAGATATGCATAGAAAGTATGTCTGGAAGGTGCCAGGCAGTCATTCTTGCAAAGGATGACACTACCAAGTATTAGGCTTAAGGCATAATTTTAAGTGTTTTCATATAATTACTCTTCAATTACATCCCATTTTAAACAAAAAGCAAACTTTTATGGGGTGACTCTAATAATTTAATCACCCACTGTATACACAAAATTACTCATATTCTGTTAATTAATACAAAAATAAAACAAATCTACAATACCACTAATGCGACGAAAAGAAAGGTAAATGTGTTATGAATTTATAATTATTACGGTGGAATTTTTCGGCACAACAAAGAGAAGTATGGATCCAGTCAACGATTCGTGTTTTCCAACAAATAAACCGCCGGTTTCCGTGATGTTTTGAAATATTTTTACTATATCAAATACAAGCCATATAAATACAGAAATAAATTAAAATTGTCCAGTGATTGCAAGAAAATTTACTAAAGACTATGGCTTTTCTTAAGTTCCTGGTTGTCTTAGGCATTGCGGGGTACTGCTGTGCTGAACCTGCGGTGAATTGGGATGAAGTGGTAAGTTATTTGAGCAAAATCGGTCTTGTTGTCTGTTACGCTTCTTTCAAATTTAATTTTTTCGCTTAATATATTGTTGTGGTATATTGTATAAATTATTTTTTACTACATAGTATACAGTTTAGATTTATATGTTACTTGAATTATTCTTAAAATTTACGAACAAAGTCCATACTAAAATCCTACTATAAATCAAATTTGGAATTTAAAAATAGGATTGCTTACTTTCTCTCCGATTATCATTTGTCTTGAGAAAGTGCAACAGTTTATGGTATTTTTTATTTTTACTACTTTTTTGGGTTTGCTTTTTCTTTTGGTTTTATAAATTCGCTTTGATTATAACGCTTTGATTATTCGACCGACTGATTTTTTATATTTAATTTGTAAACGAATTATGTTCTTTTGCTTTATTTATGAAACGATATGTTTTATTTCGATACAAACACATGTATACGAAGACATTTTTGTCTAACCATTAATATGAACTTATGAAATGTTTTCATCCTCGTATTTGTCCTACATTTTAGGTCATTTGTTTTCATAAACTTTTTCCTTTTTTAAGTTTTCCCAATAAGTAATCAATACCATTTTGTTTTTTATAACAAAGTATTTTTATAGGCAGTCTTATATATTTTTGTTATTTCATCGGATTTTAGCATATTTTATTATTCTTTTCCACTCATATACCTTTTTGGTAAATTCTATCTATAGAGCCCTAAACATACATCCTTGGATATAGGCCTCCTCCTCCATCTTCCATGCCTATCTATCTTGGGCATCCATTTTGACCTGGCGTGTTTCTTCAGGTCATCTGACCATCGCATTTGTGGTCTTCCCCTTTTTCGTTTGTGATTCCATGGTTTCCAATGTATAATTGTCTTAGTCCATCTTTCATCTTTCTGCCTTAGGGTGTGTCCGGCGAACTTCCATTTAAGCTTTGCTACTTGGGTTGAGACATCTTTTACTTTTGTTTTATTACGGGTCTATTCGTTTCTTTTTCTGTCTGATAGTTTAATGTTCAGCATTTGTCTTTCCATGAATCTTTCTGTCTTTGCTATTTTTCCATATTTTCCATATTTTGGTAAATTAGTCATCTATAAAAACTGTAAACTATAAAATTTATGGAATTTTATCCGTAATGAAGAATTTTTATTACATGAGATATTAAAGTTTGGTTTTTTGCCTATATTGGTTTCGGAATCTATGACCATTTGCCATGTTCCTTCATAGCGATGTATTGGTAGTTTTGAGTTGGTAAATTGAGTGAATGCCAAATCTTATATTTGTTCTTATTATTAATTATGCCTATAACTCATACTTTAGGTTTTCTTTTACAATATATTTATGTGATTTGGCTGTACTTGGTTTTTGTTAATATTTATAAAATATTAGTGTGTTCTACTACGTACTTATATGTATATATATATATATATATATATATATATATATATATATATATATAAGAGTAAGAAAAATATAAAACTGTTTTGGATGGGTTGGAGTTAATAAAAGGGGCTATTTGTTAATTATTTTTTACTCGAGCTTTCAATTGTGTTAACAATCATTGTCAAGAGCTGCTAAAAAATACAAAATATCTTACAAAGTTGAACTAGAAAGAAAAAGTTTTTAAAAAAAAACACCGAAGTTAAAACACTTCACAAATGTGTATTTAGGTATAATGATACCTAAATACACATTTGTGAAGTGTTTTAACTTCGGTGTTTTTTTAAACGATGGTATACAGCCAATTACGGGGTTTTTCCCATTAAAAAGTTTTTTGTTAACTCACCAAATAAAATTAGTTTAGTTAATTAAAATGCTGCTAACATATTTAAAAAAATATTATCATAAAAATGTTCTAATCTAATAAATGCTTCTCTGAAATTTTAATATAATTTTGAAAAAGTTTTTTAACACAAAAACAATTAAATTTATAAATAAATTTGAATAGTGGCAATTACAATTATTAAGCCTCAATGTCATAAATACCAACTTAAAATTTTTATTTTTTACAAGCATACTGTCAAAAATAAAATTTTTGTTTAAAAAGTCTTTTTCGTTTAGTGACAAAAAAGAAAATTTATTTACCATTGATAGATGCCTGAAAAATGTATCAAATATATGAAAAATTATGTATATAAAATGTGTGTATAAATCAAAATGTGATATTTTACTGGTTTCATATATAAACTACAAAGAAATAGTATAATTATAAATTTTGCTTCGACTTTTTGTTTAAATTTCTGATCTTTTGTTTAAATTATTATCACTTTTACTTATACAAACCATTTCCAAAAATGTCCTTTTGAATTTATTACTTTCACTACATAAAATTTTAATATTATCAAAATCCATAATATGGTCGTTGTCGATTACAAGCTTTGCCAATGCACAAGATGGTTTTTTAATTCTGCAATCACTTTTGTGAGAAATAATGCGATTCGAAAGATTTCTTCCGGTCTCACCAACATACTCAGCTTCACACTGAGTACAACTAATGCTGTATACTACATTTGTTTTATCTAATTTGTTTATAGGATACTTAGTTTTTTAATATAAAGATGAAATGGTTTTGATGTTCTTTGTTTCTATTTTTATATAGTCAATAACCTTTAGTGTTTGTATTAATTTAGGTGTTAATGATGGTATAAAAGGTAGTGGATGATAATAGATGTTCTGATTGTTAGATACAATGTTCTGAGATTTAGCAAACAATGGTGTTAAGTTATTTATATTAGCAATATTAGAAAAAAGCATCCTATGTAGCACATCTGGAGGATAAGAGTTTTCAATTAAAATATTTTTTAACAATTAAAGATCTTCTTGTGGATAATCTGAATGAGAAAGCTTTAAAACACGTTCTTTTAATCCTGTTATAAGGTTCATTTTCATCTTATTTGGATTATCAGAGTAATAGCTTATAAATCTATTACTACATATGGGTTTTCTGAACCATCTAGTTTTTAACATATTGTCTGTATTTATATGTCTGTATAATGTTTATTTTAATAAGTAATTACATGGATGAAAAAGAAGAGAAAATTAAGTGTGATTTTTGATTTCAAATATCTCATTTAAAAGTAAATTTTTGTTTATTCTAAAGGTCTTTCGGCCCTCGGTAATAATCCAATATTTCATTCTGCGTTTAAATTTTTCAAAAATATTTATTAGTTTTCTCATTTTCTCATATTCTCAAAGCATTTGTCCAAAATTTTGCGCCTACGCTCTTAATATCTATTTCCTGTCTTAAATTGTATACTCATTCTACTACTTTGGTTTTATTTTTATTAATTTTTATTCCATTTTTTTTCTGATATGTCAAATAGTCTTAAATTTCTGCAACCCACATGGATTCCTTAATTACTATCATCATGTATATTACATATAGTGTTAGACTTACTCCTCCTTCTAGTCTCAGACTCTCGTGTAGTAAATGGTTTTATTGTTCAGTTTTAACTGATAACAAAGTTAATATTGTGTTGTAAATATTCCTAATAAATTACTGTTATCAATATATTACTTTATTAGTAATACCTCTCTTTTCTAATATTCAACATAATTTTTTGCCTTGATACCCTTTCTAAAGCCTTTTTAGGATCTATATATGCCAGATACATATTTTTTTCTGTTACTAATATTTTTATGTTATTTGTTTAATTTTAAATATATGATCATGGGTGCTTTTGCCTTTTCTAAACCCGCTTTGTGATTACTCAAGTGTACTGTCAATTTTTTCAGTTATTCTTTCGTTCAATATTTTTTTGTATGTTTTCATGACAATATTTGACTGAGTAATATTCATATGAAAATAAATAACATCTTTAGTAATAAATATGTTGCATTTTGTCAAATTTTTTTTCATCACTTAACTTGTTACTCTGTTTTACCCCGATGACTTCCCATTTTTCATTTCTGAAATAGCTTCTTGCAGTTCATTTATTTTCTTTTCGATATCAGTGTGTTTGTAGCATCTCTTGCAAATATTTTCTCTATCTGTTCACTATTTCATTTTCTTCTGTGAGAAGTTCGCCAGTTTTATTCTTTATGTTTTTGATGTCTTGCTTTTGTCTTACCTCATTAATTCTAAAACTCCATAGAACAGTTTCTGATTCTCTTTATTATTGTTTTTTTATTTTTGTCAAATTTTGTCTTGATTAAATCAGAAAAAATACCATCTTCTTTATCTGAGCAAACACTAGCAGTATAACCAGAGGGTTCTATTTTTCGGAACTCAATTTTTATGCCTCTTGACGGCTCAACCTTCCAATTTGTGTTGATAGATGATTTTTGTTTCTCAGTACAATCACAATTTTACCGTGATCTTGAGGGCGTTGAGATGAGGGCGTTGGTTTTGTCATATTAATATAATAAATGGTTTCAGTGTTTTTCATAGAGCAAAGCAAGTGTACGTGCGTTTATGTTGAGATAGTCAAAACAAAACAGAAAATTACACTTGCAGGCTAAACAGATAATAGAGTAGAATAAAATAACCAGTACTTATTTTGGTAACTTAACACCATACTCAATTGAACTTTAATGATAATGGGAAATTGGACGAGCAATGACACAAAATACAATTAACGTAGTTTTTGCTGTGAAGCTATAATCCAAGATCATCAGCTTTAAAGTCTTGAGATACATTTTAGTCACTTTAGCACCAGTCACAAACATTCCCTCTCTGATCTCTGAGTCTAATCCGCAACTGACTTTAAGGCTGGTATTCTTCTAAACATAGGTGTAAATCAACCAATGTTTCAAAAACGACATAACTACCTTCTAGCGGCTCCAAAGGTAATTACAGTTGTGGCTCCAGAGGTAATTTTTTTAAATTTTGTAGTTGCGTTAATGTTTTTCTAGAACAGCGATATAATTGGTTTGGGAAATTTTCAAACTGGCCGTTATGACAGGTGGTCGTTGGTACAAGTTTTACTTTATACACAAGCTTGCTATTGCGTTGATGTATTTAATATGGTACAGGTCGTAGAGCTGATTTGTCAGTCTCTGTGCTAAATTGGTAAACCTCACCAGAAAGTTTTGTTTATTTTCCTATGCACAGAATATTTTGTTTAATTCCTATTTATAGCCATTCCTAAGATAGTCTGTTCATCCGCAAATTTCAATGTGTATATGTTTTTGGAATTGATTGGAATCGCTACATCATGACATTTTGCCTTTCACTTTATTAGTTTATGTTTGACATATATTTGTGGAGCAACCTTGTTTGGGGCCCTGTTGCGTAAAATCCTTTTATTACTTTGTTTCTCAATGATACTTTTATTATTGTCTCTACATTTCCTTGGTGTCTTTTATTAAGATATTGCTTCTATGCCTTATTTTCACTACTTCCCATAGTTTTTCCACTGGTACACTTTCATGTGCTTTTTTTTGATCCATGCAGGTTAGGTGAAGGCTTCTTCCTGTGTTCACTTTTTTTGAGGAGGATAATAAAACAGATGTTTTATTATCCTTGTCAACTTTTTAGATCCGCATTTTATCATTTTTGCTAAGATATTGCCTGGTTCACTGGTACTATAATTCTTTTATTTGTCAATTCGGGTTCTGTCTGTATTTTCATATTTTATATTTTTTCTTGACTGTGATATTTATTTTAATTGTTTTCCAGAGACTCTTTATACTGGGTTTTTCGTCGTTTTTCTTTTATTATTGTAAAGCAATGTTTGGTTGTCACTACCAATGCTGTTTATGAATTTCCAGGCTTCTGTGCATTGGATCCCCCTAAAAATGTTTCTACACATTTCACTACATTTTTGGTCAAATGTTTCTCTTTTTCGACGTAAGTTCCTTTTCCTTATTTTTTTCCTCTCTTCGTGGGTTTTCTTACGTATCCATTGTAGGTAGGACTGTTTTCTTTTCCATTTCTTCTATTTTCTCTGACCATCATATATTTTATCTCTTATCTTTCCTCTACCTGTATTTCTACGTCTTTGCATCAGTTTTCTAGTAGATTTTCTACCTAATATATTCCTTCGCTCTCATCATTAGACCATCGTCAGACAGGTTAGTTTTACCCTATTGATGACTCTTCGTTGCGATAGTAATCCTGCTCAGTACGAGAGGAATCGCATGTTCGGACATTTGGTTGACACATGTACTCGAGCGGGTAATAGTGCGAAGCTAGGAAGCTATTATCTGTGGGATTATGCCTGAATGCCTCTAAGGCCCGGTGCAAATTAAGCACAGCCCACGCATATCCCAAGCGCAGCACACGCGTGGGTTATTTTGTAAAACGTGGTTTTAGACGGAGCGACGCATATTAAATCCAAACCACGGCCAGGCTAATGCCAGACTTGGTTGGCGTGGATAGAGTCGTGCTAGCAACACAGTTTCGTGGGTCGTGGGTCTCTACCTAACCTTAATTATGATGTCATTTTCTGATTATATTTTAAAAATCGGTAGATCTTTCAAAATATAATATTTTGTTTTAATTTCATAATGTTTTGGAATTCGTTTATTTAAGAAAAAATAAAATATGTTTACCTGACTGAAATTTAAATCTTTAAATGAGTCTGTGACTAGGAATCGAATACTTATAAGAGAACCGAAACCTCGAGTATAAAACCCTTTTACAAGGAAATATTATACAACAAACAGATTACCGAGTTTTTAAGTGAGGTGCACTCGGAAACTTATATTAATTATGTGTTGTTCCGATTTTTAGTTTCCTAACTTGACAAATTTCCAGAACCAAGCGATCGGGATCACAATGGATTGGGATTCATTTATTATTGTAATACTAGCTTTTATAAGATCATGTACTTTGTAAAGTACCGCTTAGGTATCATTTAAGAATAAATACTGCGAACACTGCGAAGAATACAAATATTTGACATGGGCGTGGGCTGTGTTCAATATGCGTTATTATTGAAAAACGTGTACTTGGACTAGGTTGTACCATACGTGGGCTGCGCGTGGGATGTGCATGGGCTATGGTCAATTTGCAGCGGGCCTAAGGCCGTGCCCTTTCTACCGCCAAAGATCGTAACGATATCATTTGGATCGCAGAGAGTCGAAAAACTCAAAGCAATGTGACTTAACTAGGCAATCGTTTTCAATCGTTGGCATCTCCATTTTTATTTTGTGCACTAAAGCTTTTATTTCTATATACACATGTATTATTATTTTTATAAAAAACAACTCAAATATGTGTAGTTGTCTACCGTTTCGATAGTTTTAAAAGATAGTTTACAATTGTTTTTATTTCCGTTTTAATATCTGTTGTAAGTTGTTTGGTACATGTACCTTTTTCGATCATGATCTATATCATGATTTATATTTATTATCTCAGAGGCTTCGTTAAAGCTTTTTATATTACTAGTTCTTCATAATTTCAATCTTGTATAATTGTTAAACAATTAATAAGAAATATTTTTATTTATAATTAATAGATTTAAATATTGTTTTAGAGTAGAAAAATCAATGAAATAGGAAACAAAGTTCAAACTGCGGCAAGAGGAGCATGTGGATTTATTAACTCAATACCCGGAGGTCAACCGTTTCCTTTAAACCCGCAAGGATTTAATCCAGGATTTAGAGGATTTCAACCATCTTACTTTCCATCAGGTAGAGGATTTCCACAATCCCCAGGATTTAGAACCTACTTTCCTCCATCATATTACCCAAATCAGATTCCTGGACAAGTTCCCAACTTCCCTCGTGGTTCTCCTCAAACTCCAACAAACTTTGTTCCCCCTTCGAGCTCAGGTGGAATTCGACCAAATTCAATGCCACCAGTACCACAGATTCCAGCTACCTTACCTCCTTCCCTTCCCTCAACGGTGGCTCCTCCAGACACTCAAACATCTTTTGAACAAAATGACTTAAATGTTGGTAATGAGGTTCCAGCGTTTATACCTCCATCTACTGATGATAATGATGTAGCAAGTGGAAGTCTCACCAACAGACGCTTAAGAAATGCCTTTAGTAATAAGTATGTTAACTGGAGAAAATAAATTTTGTTTCTAGGATGTTTTGTTCTATGTAATAGTTGTGTTCGTTTTGGAACAAATAAAAAATATTAAAATATTTTTGAGTTTGATACCATGTATATACCTTTAGGTTAAATGAAGATTTAGTTTGTATACCGGAATTATACTTTATTGCTCTAACAACTATTTCGACCTTTGTCTAAGTTTTTCATAACAACTTTTGTTAAATTATATAAATATATAAACAAACCAGTTTTAGATCTAATGCAAGAATGAACATCACAACCTTGTATAAATTTCACATTATGACATCTTTTTAGCTTATATGTTTTCTTTCTAGCTTAATAATTATCGTTGATTAATAGTTTTGATTCTGTTGAACAGAGAGATCAGATATAGGTATCTAAAATCTGTTTTTGATAAATTTGGTGATAACAATATCTAATAAAGAAAACATGCAAAAGATTAAATGTCATTAATTACAAACATTATATAAACAATGTAAGATCGCTATTTGATCTTAAATACTAATGGTGAAGACCGGTAAGTTATATGAAAAAGGACAAAACTTTACTAAAAAAGCAGAGAAAATCCTTTAAAATAAGAGTTTACAAAGTAATTTTTGTCAGTTTGTTGCTTAATTATTGCAAAAAAACTTCAAAAGTTAATTATTTAAAAAGTATTAACTTTTTTTTAAATGCACAAATAATTTTAACTTGAATTAACAAGAATACTGAAAGTACCAGATTGAACAAAAAGGCTAACTCTATCAAATTAAATTATAGGTAATGGATTTTGGGAATAGCTATGACCTTGAACATTTCACATAAACTTGTGTACTAAATAGGCATAATGCATAGCTCTTGTCAAAATCCAATACATTATTAATATAATTATATATCTTCGATTCTAAAATATTGTAAAAGACTTTAAAGAGTCTGAGTAAGAAAAGAGATATTTAGATATATTGTTTGTGGCATTTTCAAGGTCATAGCTGTTCCCAAAATCCATTACCTATATCTCCCTTCTCTCTATTCGCATTGCCGAATATAGGCCTCTCCTAATTCTCGCCATTCATCTCTGTTGTTTGTAAGACGTTTCCACGTTGGTCCTCCTCGCATTGCATTTGAGGTCTTTCTTGTGGTCTTTTGGCTTTATATGGCCGCCAATAACCGATTTCTTTATTCCATCGGCCATCCTTAAGACGTTCGTTATGTCCAGACCATTTCCATTTCAGTTTAGCTGCTTGTTCGACAGCACCTCTTACTTTTGTTCTATTACAAATGTCTTTGTTCATCTGTCGTTCCATAGCTCTCTGAGTTTTTCTGATCTTCTCCACGTTTATTTTAGTAAATGTTCAGATTTTAGCTCCATATGTAAGTACAGGTAGGATACAGGAAATAAACAATTTGGTTCGCAGTCTGTGAGGTATATTTTTATTTTTAAGTAAGAAGGAGAGTCTTCCGACAGCTGCCCATTCTATTTTTACACATCCGCGTATTTCGGTAGTCTGATTTTCGTTGCTTAATTTTACATTTTGACCTATTATAGAACACGTATATTCATATACGTGTTCTATTCCTTCGATGTTTATCATAGTTTTATCATCTTTGTTTGACATTAGTTTAGGTTTGTTTAAATTCATTTTCAGTCCTTTTTTTAGTGATTCTGTGTGTAGCTCCTCAATCATCGTATTTAGTGCATTTCACGTGTCGGCTATTCGTACTACATCATCTGCGTATCTAAGATGGTTCAAGTATCTTCCGTTAATAGGGATTCTCTTATTTTCCCAGTCTATTGACTTAAATATATCTTTTAGGGCAGCTGTAAGTAATTTTGGAGATATTGTATCTCCTTGTCTTACTCCTCTGTTGATTTTTACTAATCTTGTTTCGATTCCATTACCCAACGTCACTATCATTTCAGCTTGTTCGTAAATATTATGTATTAATATTTTGTACCTGGAGTCGATCCGGTTGTTGCCTAATGATTTTTCTATTGCCCACAATTCTACGCTATCAAAAGCTTTTTCATAATCTATAAAAGCCAGACATAATGGGAGATTTTATTCGTTAGTATTTTCTATTAGGATTTTTAAACTATATAGATGGTAACAATTGCTGTACCCTTTTCAAAATCTGACTTGTTGTACTGGTTGATATTTGTCAAGTTTAATTGTTAACCTGTCCTAATAATCTTTGTGAAGATTTTGTAAAGTTGTGAAAGAAGTAAAATAATAATTTTTCAGGTCTGTGGTGTCTCCCTTTTTGTGCATTAGTATTGTTTCAGCAGTATTCCATTGTTCGGGTATGTGGCATTTGAATAGACATGTATTAAATAATATTTTTAGATATGTGATGACTTCTTCTCCGCCTTCTCAAGAGTTGCAATATTAGAGTTGCTCCAGGTAATACTGTTATCATCATTAAAAAGAAAAGTGTTTTCATAGATTTTTAAGATAGTGATGCCATTCATAAATATAAGAAAAAGTAAGGGACCCAGTATTGAACCTTGTGGTACTCCACATACAATGCTTTTCTGACTAGAGTCAGTATCATTTTCTCTAACTAGTTGTTTTCTATTCCTCAAGTAAGATTGGAACCAATTCAAAAAAATACCTTGAATTCCGTAGAAATTTAGTTTTTTTCTATCAAAATCTCGTGATTTACACAATAAAAAACTTTGGCGTCGTCACAAAAAACAGAGATTTGAGAGAGTATGAAGATTATTGTTTAGTGCTTTATAGACCTTATGTAGTACAAAAAAGATAGCATCGCGGATACATTTATTAGATAAAAAGCCGAACTAACTTTGTAATAAAATATTGTAATCAACGAGAAAGGACATAAGTCGGGCTTTTATAAACTCTCTCAATAATTTTGGATAGGACCAGTAGTAAGGAAATAAGTCTATAGCTGCAGACATTTTCACCACTCTTATAGAAAAAAATAATAATGACTATCTTTAGGAACTCTGGGAATATATCTTTTTTAAAGGAAATTGTAGTCTTCAGTCAGACCAGGATTTTTAACGTATTTTTTGGGAGATTTAATAATTTTTTTATGGATAGTCCATCAGTAATACAAGGAAGTTTTGCTTTTGATACTACTGAATGTTTGGATCAGTTCAGATTTATCAACTGTTCCTTAAAAAATAAATTTAAGACCTTTTTTTAAATTGGAGAGATATAATCAAAATAGTTGATGTTACATTTTTAGTCACATTAACGAAGTATTCATTTTGAGTTTCAGGGTTTGGAAAAGAAAATGTTTGAGCTGTGTTAGTTTTATTTCAGAGATCATTTATTATGAACCAAGTTTATCTTGCAACATTTTTAGAATTTCCCAGACGATTCTGATAGTACAGTTTCAGTTGTTTTGATAAGTTTTAAATAGGTTTCTCTATACTTGGAGATATATTCAATGACAAAGACGTTGGTAGTAAATTTATTAATGTGCAGTAAAATACAGACAAGTCTGTCTAAAAAAATTACTGAAATTATAGTCTATATCCACAGAGGGAAAGTCCCACCCAAAAGTCAAGCACAAATTTTGGAATTTAGACTCTGAGCAAAAAAATCCAGCCAGAACCTTGGATTTTTAATTCAACCAATTTTAATCCAATCAAAACCATGATTAGATAGTCCTGCATTAATAATTGTAGAGCATACATCAAGGGGTGAGAAATCTAAGACAATATATTCAATTATGGTAGATGTTGTTTTAGTAATTCCTGTAGGATAATTAACGTGTATATACGATTCAATATATTGATCAAGGATAATAAGGTGTAATAATTATTATTCAACTCATCGCGTAGAATCTATCTGCTTTTATTGGGCGGGTCGTCTAAAAAATTTAACAGGTTTTAAAAAAATAGTTCCGTGGAACAATCAGGTGATCTATAAATGCACAGAATGTACAGTGCTAGTCAAAAGTCCGTTCCCCCCCTCGTATCTTTTGAACGGTTATTGTTATAATAGTGAAATTTGGAGAGAGGTAATAAACAGACGTAGGCTTCTCAACTAGTCATAACAGGTGACGTAATAGTGACAGATGACGTTACAGCGCCACTGTGACAGATAATTTTAAATGGGACCTTATGGCAAGTCATACCTCGTTTGAAAAGCATTTAAAATACCTATTCAGTCATAATAATTTTATTTGAGTTTAAGCTCATTTTGAGAAATAAATTAAATAAATACTAAAACTGTAGTTTCGCATTTAATTAATAAATATTAAAACCTCCGCCTCTGGTTACTTGTCAAAAAGTTGACGTTTTTCAATTCTCTAATTGTTTTTACGTCAACGTCAACTTTTTTGACAATTAGCAAAAGGCGAACGTTAGCATATTTATTGATTAAATGCAAAACTACAATTATTTTATTATACCTATTCAATCATCCTAATTTTGTTTGGATTTAAGATGCTTTTGACGAATAAATTAAATAAATACTAAAATTCTAATTTGGCATTTAATTCTAACGTCAGCCTTTAGTTATTTGGCAAACAAAGTTGACGTTTGTCAATTCTCTGGTTGATTTTAGTTTGCAAAAGCGCTTATAGCATAATATTTAGTTTCTGTTTCTACTTAGTTTGGTCAATCTAAGTTTAGTCAAGTTGTTTTTAGTTAGTTGTTCTTAGTTAATATTCAGTTTAATTATTGTTTAATGAGACGTTTAAATTTTTACAAAGGCAGAATGGTACGTACTGCAGCCGACAAAATAGCAGCTGTGATAATTGGTGAATGTGAAAATAATTTCCATGCAGCGGAACGTCTTTTTAATGAGCCCCGACCGCCCTATATCGAGATCTTATTTAAGAAAGCTTCTTCGGAAGTTTAAACAAACAGGTAGTGTTCAAAATGTCAAACGATCTGGTCGACCAACAATTAGTGATGACAAAAAAATTGAATTAGTCAAAAGACAAAGTACACTCAGTGTTGGCTCAAAACAAATTTCATCCATACAAATTAAACATTGTGCACAAACTTTCAGATGATGACCCCAACCGAAGACTAGAATTCTGTGAAAATATGTTCAATAAAATTAACCAACAGCCCAATTACATAAAAA